CCCCCCCCCCATCTATTAGTTCCTAGTGTGTTGCTCTTAGTGTCTTTGAAGATCTACCAGCAAGAAGTGGGAAGCTATTACAAACTCCAAATCCAAAGCCCCACCCAGTCCTCCCCAACTAGGATATGCACTTTCGTAAAACTCAACTCCAAACCTTATACATTATAGATTTTCCCAGGCTGTAATCTTTATGGTAGCACACAGCATTTTTATCCAGTGGGGGTCAAGGTAAAAGTGGTTTGAGTTGCTGACCTTGTGGGTGAAATATGCTATTTTAAAATGGAATATTCCAGGGAAAGGCGACTGTATTTCTCCCTCATGGGGGCAGCAGCTGTGGAAACATGGTAAGGGGGAAATGGAGAGGAGTGAGGATGAACACAGCGTAAACGCACTAGGTGGCAGGCGTCACGGCAGGCCCGGTGACCAGGTCGCCACCCCCTACAATTCGTGGCAACTGGCTGCCAGACTGCGGACCGCACGCGCAGGCGCAAGCACTACGAGCGCCGCATCACTTCCGAGAGGCTGCTCCCAAGCAAGCTTGGGGGCTTCCGGCTGCTGTGTCCTGGAATTCTGAGATTTCTCCTGGAGAGCCATTCATGCCAGGAGAAAACCCGAGAGACAGCACCGAGACTGCCATGTTCTCAGGTGTGTACTTGCTTCCGCTGGGGCTGAGTGGAACGGCGTCCCACTCCAACGGCGACTCGCTCTACCCTGTGGGAACTTGCCACCCATCACCCCCCTACCCCCCGCCTGGCCCTCTCTCGTGCGCGGCCGGTTCATTGGTCCGAGCCGGTCTCTGCGTTTGCTGCCCGCCCACAGCGGGGTACGCCCTCCCAGGCCAGAGCCGTTGCTGGGGGCTACTGGAAGCCCCACGTGTGGCCGCTGGAGAGTGCTTGTCAGGAGCCCTGGAGTCATCCAGACTCAAAGCGACCATATGTGAAACAGTGCAAGAAACACCGCCAGGTTCTGCGCCCTTCTCTCCATTGTTTGTTTGAGCCCATTATTGCAGCCGCTACGTCCATCCATCTTGTCGAGGGTCTTGCTCTTTTTCTCTTTCCCTCTACCAAGCTTGAGGTCCTTTCCCAGGAATCGGTCTCTCCTGACATGCCCAAAGGAAGTGAGATGAAGTCTTGCCATCCTTGCCTCTCAGGAACATTGTGGCAGGACTTCTTTCTCGAAGCTTTTTTTTTTTGGCAGTGCATGGCACTTTCAGGTCCCAATAATTAAAATGCATAGGTTCTTCTTCCGTCTTCCTTATTCAACTTATGCCAACTTTCACATGCATATGAGGCAATGGAGAATACCATGGGTTATGTGCTTGGGTCAGACGCATGTTAGTGCTCAAAGTAACTTCCTTGCTTTACATCATTTGAAAGAGGTTGTACAACCAGATTTGCCCAGTGCAGTGCATCATTTGATCTTGATCGCTTCCACGAGCATTGATTATGGATCCAAGCAAAACAAAATCCTTGACAACGTCAGTCTTTTCTCCATTTATCATAATGTTGCCTATTGGCCTAGATGTGAGATTTTTGTTTTCTTTACATTGAGGTGTACTCCATAGTTAAGGCTGCAATCCTTGATCTTCATCAGCAAGTGCTCCAGCAAGCAAGGTTGCATTATCTGATTATCCCAGATTGTTAATAAACCTACCTCCAATCCTGATACCACACTTTTTTTCATATAAACTAGCTTCTCTGATGATTTTGCTCAGCACACAGATTGAGTAAATATACAACCCTGATGCACACCGATCCTGTTCTTAAACCTGGCAGTATCTTTTGTTCTGTTTGCACACCTGCCTTTTGGTCCATGTACAAATTTTGCATATCTTTAATATTGCAATCGAGGCTTGAAGTTTTTCTTTAGTTCTTTCAGATTAAGATATGCTGAACATGTTCTTATTTTTTATTATTTAACTCAAGGTATTTGCATATTTCATTGCAATATTTTACTTTGTCTTCTCAGGTTGCTCTTTAAAGTGTTCTGTTCAGCTTTTTTTAAAAATCATTTTATTGGGGACTCATACAAGTATTACCACAATCCATACATACATCAGTTGTGTAAAGCACATTTGTACATTTGTTGCCCTCATCATTCTCAAAACATTTGCTCTCCACTTAAGTCCTTGGCATCAGCTCCTCGTTTTTCCCCCTCCCTCCCTGCTCCCCCTTCCCTCATGAACCCTTGAGAATTTATAAATTATTTTTGTGTGTATTCAGCTCTTTTACTTCATCATTTCTTCCATGTGCTTTAGCTACTTTATGATTAAGAACAAGTTTCAGAGCCTCATCTTTAAAATTAAAAAAAGTTCATTATTATATATCTTGTCAGATTTACATTACTGATCTTCAAATGAAATAGACCGTTCTGTGAAGGCATGAAATATGAAGCGCTACATAAGTAGTTGTTCCATAATATCTGCCAAGATGAGGAAGAATACAATGAAGACACCACTGAGCGAAATAGCAGTGTGTGCTTTCAGAGTAAATTCTCTTTGAGAAGGTAAGCCATGTTTTCCTTTGCAGTGGTGGGATTGAGCTCCATTTTTATTCATCAACGCTAAACTAGTCTTTATTTTTTCTGCTGATTATAAAGGAACCAGAGGCTGGTCATAAAACTTCAAGCAATCTACAACTGTATGAATTAGAAAGTCCTTCCCTTCTTGCCTTTACACACATTTAGTCAATTGGTGAGTTCTCTTGCTTTTTTTTTAATGGATGTACCATCATATAGGAATGAAAATAAAAAAGGAATGAATAATAAGATCTTATTATTAAGAATGAATAATAAGCTTGCCATATTTTTCAGGTAACACAGATATCAATGCTAATGTGCATATTTTAATAACCGTATAAAATGTCACTGATTAAGACCACATATTTTGCAAAAGCCTCTTTAAAGTGCTCAAAAGCAAAGATTTCATGTTAAGGTAAGGTGTGTCTAAGCCAAGCTAATTTTTTTTCAGTTGTCTCATTGACAGGTGAACACTGAGCAGTGAAAAAAGAAAAATAAAGAAGAATTGATATCTTTCAGTTATGGCAAATAATATTTAATTTACTGAAGACTGCCATAATAGCAAATAAATCTGTCTTGGAGAAGATAATGGACATCCAGGATGATCCTTAGAAGGGAGATACCAAGACTTTGTCTTGCTTACTTTGGGCACAGCATCAGGAGGGGCCTGTCTCTGGAAAAGGAAATCATGCTTGGTCGAGGGCCAATGAAAAAGCGAAAACCTTCAATGAGATACAGTGGCTACACCAGTGGACTCAAACATAGTTAATAATTGTGAGGATGGCACAGGGCTGGGCAGTGTTTCCTTCCGTTGTCCATGGGGTCACAAGAGTTACTAAGAGTTGGAAACAAGCAGAGAGGGATCTCAGTACCACCTTTTTCCTCTTCCCACTTCTCCCGAGAATGGATTTCAGTCCCCTGCGCCCCTTTCCTGTTTTGGGTTTTTTTTTTTTTTTTGGCCTTCTTTAACTGTGCACATTGCTCCACAGGACTGTTCAGCTGTGGGGCTGAGCCCCACAACTTCTGATTTCCTAGAAAGATAGGAAGGAAAGAAAAGACTCTGACACTTGCTCTTGAAGTTGAATACTTAAAGTGAGAGGAAACGATCATGAATTTCACCAAGGATTTCACATAGTGGCTCTAGAAGACAAAGTGTTAAAGTGACATGTGCTGAGACCTGGAGTTAAAAATTCAAAAGGAAAGAACACATTTGGCATTTCTCAAGCTGAGAGCTGAAGGAAAAATTCAAACCTGGAAATGGAATATTAAAGGCCCCGATGAGCAAAGCAGTTGATTTCCACCGGGATTGAAACAATGGGCTCAAATAGCAACTAATAATCAAGAGTTTAACCACTCAAACTGTTCAGGGATGTACAAGACCTATAGGAAGAAGGGGAAAAAGATCTAGACCAACTGAGAATGGATTTTTAAAAAAATCGTTTTATTAGGGGCTCATAAAACTCATAATAATCCATACATACATCAATTGTGTAAAGCACATTTGTACATTCATTGCCCTCATCATTCTCAAAACATTTGCTCTCCACTTAAGCCCCTGGCATTAGCTCCTCATTTTTTCCCCTCTCCCGAGAATGGATTTTTTTTTTAAAGGGGTGCATACACATGATTAATCCATGCAATTCAGCAAAGGGAGTGAAACACTGATATATAAAGTCCAGTAGCATGGATGAACTTCAAAATTTTTTCTAAGAGGCCAGATGCAACTCACTAGTCATGGCATCATTCTGTTTATATGAAATGGAAAAACAAAACAAAAATGTCTAGTTTTAAAAAAAGTAAATTAATGGTTGTGTAGGACGAGGGATTGGGGACAGGGAGCAACTGCAAGTAGTCTTAGGGCTTCTTCTGAGGGTGATGGAAATATCTAAAATTAGATTTAGTGATAATTGCAAAACAAAATCCACTTTAAGACAGCCCCATGTGTTACAGAGTGGAACTGTTCTATCGAATTTTCTTGGCTCATCTGGTGGGAGCAGATGTGCAGATATCCCTCAGTTAAGTTCCCACCACCAATCTTGATGTTAGTAGTCAGTGCAAACCATGTGCACCCGACAGGCCCTGTGGTAGTGGATGTACACTCTGTAAGTACACTATAGATCATTGGATTGTACACTTTAGAGCGAATAAATTTTATAGCATATAAATTATATTTCAATAAACCTGTTTAATGAAGGGACAATTATATATTCTATCCTTTTATACCATATTAATCTTTAGTTTTGATGCAACTCCCCAATTATTTTTCTGGAATTTGACTGGAAAATGATTCTAATCTTTACATGGAAAAGTGAGCTTGTGAGAATAACCTGACGGAGAAACACTCCGGAAGAGGACTGTCTGCGGAGAAAATGGGGTATAAGCGATTCACCAAACTATCACAAAGCTCTAATGACTTAAACCATCGAGTATGGGGATGTGGCATGACAGATCAATGAAACAGAATAGAAAATTCTGGGTTGCATACAGGAATGTAACATATGTTGAAGGAGGCATTTTAAAATATACAGGTGTGAATGGCTATCCAATTAAAAAAAAGCAAATTACACATGGATCAAATATTTGAATGTAAAAATTGAAATATGAATGTTCCAAATTAAAAATGCATGATTTCAAAAAACAAGCTTGCTATAGGCAGGCCTTTTCTAAGAATGCAAACCCAAAGCCCATAAAAGAAAAAAAAGTAAACTCAATCTCACTGACATTGAGTCAGTTCCAACTCATAGTGACCCAAAAAGACAGAGTAGAACTGGCCCTGTAGGTTTCTGAGAGTGTAACTCTTTACAGGGGTAGAAAGCTTCATCTTTCTCCCACAGAAGGACTGGTGGTTTTGAACTGCCAGCCTTGCGAATTGTAGCCCACCTCATAAAAGAGACTGTGTCAGCACTTCTAATCAGGATCTCTTGCATTCTCTCAAGATTGTATCTATAAATTGTCTCTTGTATATTTTCCACACTATTTCAGGCATCCCAAAATGAGTGAGATTGAGCTGGCAGAGGCCCAGCTCTCTGAGTTAGAGCTGCTGGCCAGTATGTTCCCCAGCGAGGATGAGTTCATGGTGAATGACCAGCTGGCTTTAGCTGAACTGAAAGATTGTATTGCAAAGACGACCATGGAAGGGCGGTCCTCAAAAATTTACTTTACACTTAATATCAACCTGGATGTATCTGAGGAAGCGACGGTAATCCACTTTTGTTTCTTTTGGAAGAACAGAAACATGTCCCTGCTTAAAACAGCACTAAGGGCGCTTTTCTCTCTCTTTTTTTTACAAGGTAATGTTCTCACTGGCCTGCATCCTTCCTTTCAAATACCCTGCCGTTCTACCTGAAATTACTGTCAGGTGTGTTACAGAAACTCTGGCTGGGTTTAGATCTGATAAATCAATCTGAGACTAAAAGCGATTCTTGTGTGTCTTTTTGCTCCAAGAAAATTGATTTAATTTTTTCCCCATGTCTTTTCCATCAGGTCAGCCTTCTTAAATAGATCCCAGCAGACTCAGCTGACTACAGACCTGAATGCATACTTGCAAAAAAACTACTGCGGAGACGTGTGTATATTGAATGCCACAGAGTGGGTTAGAGAACATGCCTGCGGGTATATCAGCCGAGATGCCACATCTGCCACCACAGGAAGTACAGCCCAGTCACTCGAGCCTATTCTCACCCGGCTCTGGATCTATAGCCATCACATCTACAACAAATACAAAAGGAAGGATATTCTAGAATGGGCCAAGGAGCTTTCTCTGTCTGGGTTTAGCATGCCCGGGAAGCCTGGTGTGGTTTGCGTGGAAGGCCCACAAAGTGCCTGTGAAGAATTCTGGTCAAGGTTTGCGTGCACATCTTTTCTAACTTGAGTCCTTACTTTTAGTACTAAACAAGGTAGTAGAAATATGAACCAAGTACATCCAGCGGGTTGTATTTTCATGGGGATTCAGACCCAAAGGCAATGGATAAAGTAGACATCTCAGTTAGTATTCCTACCTGCAGTTGACATGGTGTACATAGGAGGCATTCTGTAAATGTACGGGAGGAATTGAACCTTGGAACAAGATGCTGTCTATATTCCTATCTGTTTCCATGGGTCTTATCCATCCCTCATCTTAGAGATACTGTCAGCTGTATAATTGTAAAATGGGGGCCTTTCTACTTACAATAGAATTGCTAGTAGTCTTCCTGTTACCCTACTGATTAACAACCCTAAATGAACTTTTCTGAGAAGTCATGTCAATAGTTTCAGGATCAACAGTTTCTGCATTTCTAAGGTGGGGGTACAAGTCAGTAAATTTTCCTTGGATCATGTCTTTTCAGACTCAAAAAATTAAACTGGAAACGAATTCTCGTTCGCCATCGGGAAGACATTCCTTTTGATGGCACAAGTGGCGAACTGGAAAGACAAAAAAAGTTCCCAACTTTCGAAGAAAAAGTGTTCACTCCTCATGGAGCCAGAGGAAATCACATGGACTTTGGTCAGCTGTATCAGTTTTTAAATGCCAGAGGATGTGGAGATGTTTTCCAGATGTTCTTTGGCGTGGAAGGACAATAACTGAGAGTGTTTTGTCACTGTTGGTCTTTTGATTTTCCTATCCTTTCTTTCTCAGAAGGTCAATCCTTTTACTTTAGTCCCGTCCTAGAGAGTTATGGAGAAGAAAATTTAAAAGCGAGAATAAAGAAGATCTGAAATATATCTGCTAGGTAAAATGTGATAGTTACCATCTGTCGTGTGAAATGTGTGATATGAGAGAGCATCATGATGATGAGAAGTAGAAATGAGTTTCAAATGATAATCCTGCAAGTGGTGGGTGGGCACTCACCCACCATGGGACCCACCACTGGTCTAGCCTGCCCCGCAGAGACTGGCTTGAAGTCAGAGACGTGAAGAGCTGAACCTTGTGATTATGTTGCCCGGGCTGGGCACCGGGGTGTGGGCAGCGTGCCTTTCCCGCCCGGAGCCACCTGCAGGCACAGAGGTCCCATGCAGCCTGGACTGCGTGGTGACAGGTGGCAGGAGGGCCCAGGCCCATTAGCTTTCTCTTTCCCAGATCACACTGGGGCACACCCCCTTAGTCAGGCTCTCAAGTGTTATTTATGGGCCCTCGAAGTGCGTGGGTGTTCTGGGCTCTCTATTCTTAGGGCCCCAGGGGACCGAGTTCTGCCTCTGAACCCCTGTCCAGGGCCTGCAGGGGGCCTTCCTCCACCCTCAGCCTTATCATCTGGAGTGGGCCCTACTTCCTCAGAGCTGATTGAGTGGATTTCTCCTCTGTGTCACCGTGCTGTGGCGACAGGTGTGGCGTGGCCTGAGGTATCCTGGGGAAAGGTTACCTCCACACTGGGTGGGTAGTGGGAGGCCAGAGTCTGCTCAGCACAGGTCTGGGGCCCCAACAGACAGCCCACCCTTCCGGCTTTTTGTTATATATTGGTGCTATCTATTGTCATTGGGTGTTATCTGTTGGGTGTTGTCCTGTGATGGGTTCTGCCTGGCTCAGGCCTGCTGTCCTGGATGGGTGCTGTCTATTGTTGATTTAGGTGCTATCTGTTGTTGGGTGCTGCCAAGTAAAGACCCCATCAGACAAAGGGTACTGCCCTGCAGGTTCCTAGGCTGTAGTTGGTAGGGTCTCTCCTTCCCCAGGCCCAGCCCTCCAGTGCTGCCCACATGCCTACACAGCCGCTCCTCTGAACGATCCAGGGGCCCTCGGGTCTTGGAGGGGCACTCAGGGGCTTGGGCAGGCACTGTGACCACAGAGCAGGACAGAGCCAGGCTGGGGGACTCCTGTGGGATTCTGCCCCCACCTTCTGCCTGAGGAATGACAGGCCGCCTTCTCCCAGGCAGCTGATGGCCCCAGAGCCGCTGGAGAAGCTGGGCTTCCGAGACCTGAAGGCTGAGGAACCAGCCACATAGGACAGATGTTGATGAGGTAGTGCACATCGTGCTGCACCCCGCACAGCCGTGAGGCCTGCCCCAGGGCACCCTCACCTGGGCTGCAGGTGACAAACTCACCACATAGCTGCCTCTGCGGTCAGCGTGGTGGTCCACTTGGCACTCCTTGATCTACTGCGACAGTGCCCTGGACTCCTGCCCTCTGGGCTGGCCTAGCGCCTCCCTTCACCAGCTTGAGCCCTCAGCCCCTCCCTTCCCCGCCTGTCGAATAAAAGGGTTGATTGAGTCTGGCAAAAAAAAAATAATCCTGCAAGTGTTGAAGAAATGTCTTGACATATAAAGTCCCTGTTTTAAAAGAGAAATAACAGTCTCTGAGGAAGGTATGGAAGGTTTAACTCATCCCGTCCCTACTCACAATCCCCATTTTCCTTCATCTTGTCTCCAACAGTCAGGAAAAGTTCCAGGCTCACTCTCCAGCCTCTGTGACAATACAGGTGACCTCACACACAGCTTTGGCTAAGGGACTTCTGGGAAAGCTTTTGCTTCCCTGGGTAACAGTGACCAGGGCAGCTAGGCTACGGCTTCCTCTCTTCCTGCCACAAACACCAACGTGATGGCTGGAGCTACAGTCCTTCTTTCTAGCACTCGGGAAGGAAGGGCCAAGAGAGCTGCTGAGATGCCAGTTCCCGAACTGCTGAACTTCTGATCCAATAGTGTAGCTCTTGCCCAGCTCCAGATGTCTTAGTATAAAACATTTTGTTTAAATGGCTGTGCTCATTAAAACTAAAACAAAATAAATCTGTCATCAAATCAGATCTGGCTGTCCAAATTGAAAGTCAGAATTAAAAAATCATTTTATTGGGCTCTTACAACTCTTATCACAATCCATATATACATACATACATTGTGTCAAGAATATTTGTGCCTGTGTATCTTTAAGCCTTTAAGACCCCAGACGCTGTATCTTTTGATAGCCGGGCACCATCAGCATTCTTCACCACATTTGCTATGCACCCATTTTGTCTTCAGTGATCGTATTGCGAAGTTGAGCATCACAGAATGCCAGGTTAATAGAACAAAGGGTTCTTGATTAAGGGAGCACTTGAGTAGAGGCCCAATGTCTATCTGCCTAAAACTTCTAAGAGTTTCTTTTAAAAATTCTTCTGGCCAATTTTATGTTTGCTAATTTGTCTCCTCCCAGCAATTTAGTCTCACTGCGTGGGTGCAAATTCACAAAGAGAATTCTAGCGAGTGACATTTAGTGAGGTAGCGTGTGAACTAAGACTGGAATTCGTACCTATTTTAGCTATAATGCTATTTACAGGCTCCAACTTCATAGAATATTATCAGTCCCTCTCCTGTCTTTTTGCTGACCAAGGGGCCTTCTCTGGGGTCAGCTATACAAATATTAAGGAGCACCAAGCAATTCTGTAGCCAGATTAGAAATCTACCTTTGCATTTTGTTTTCTGAGCAGTAAAGCTTTTGACAAAAACGCTGAATTGTCTCTAGAAAAATAAAGATGAAAAGTTTATTTCAATTCAAAATGGAGTATTTTTTATTTAGGTCACCCAATTCAGACATTCCAGTACCTAGATTTTTCAAAGATTGACTCTTCCACAGCAGTGTTATCTAAGTAAGGCATGATTAACAACAACTTGAAAGGAATGAAATGATGAGTTTTAAGAGACTAGGCCGAATTTAGGAAGCAATAAGCCACTAAAGGTCTAGGTAATTACTGCTGCTCTTTTCCCGGAGGTAGTATTTCTCTGATCAATCTATACTGAATCCTGGTCAATTCCCTGACTGTCCTTTCCACAGACCATGTTCGTCTTTACTGCCCTGTCACTGTCCCTTTCTAGCCCCTGGCTGAAGTGTATTCTTTTCATTCCGCTTTCTCTAGTCGGTCCAAGCTTTGGGCTGGAGTCACTCATGAAGCCTTTCTGGTGTTAAATCCCCTTCTTGTAGCATTTTTGATAGGTGAGACCCAAATTATCAATGAATTCCATATTATTTAATTTTACTTCCTAATTCTTTTGTATTCAGCTGCTTCCTAACTGCAGGAAATAACTTGAGAATTAGCTCACTATGATTTATGTAACCAAAGCTGTCAGATATTTCATAGAAACAACTCCATTAGGTCTATCTAGATAAGACAGGCAGGATAAAAAATCTGGAGGAGAAAACAACAGGACCGACGGTTCCTGGGGGACATGGGAGAGGGGGAAAGGAAGTGATGTTAACAAACCTAGAGACAAGGGAACAAGTGATCCAAAATCAGTGGTGAGGAGGGTGTAAGAGGCCTGGTAGGGCTTGGTCAAGGACAATATAACTGAGAGAAATTACTGAAACCTAAATGAAGGCTAAGCATGATAGTGGGACAAGAGGAAAGTTAAAGGAAATAGAGGAAAGAGCTAGGAGGCAAAGGGCATTTATAGAGGTCTAAATACAAGCATGTACATATGTAAATATATATATATGATGGGGAAATAGATCTATGTGCATATATTCATAGGTTTAGTATTAAGGTAGCATATGGACATTGGGCCTCCACTCAAGTACTCCCTCAATGCAAGAACACTTTGTTCTATTAAACTGGCATTCCATGATGCTCACCTTCCTGACACAATCGCTAAAGACAAAGCAGGTACATAAGCAAATGTGGCAAAGAAAGCTGATGGTGCCTGGCTATGAAAAGATAAGCATCTGGGGTCTTAAAGGCTTGAAGATAAACAATCGTCCATCTAGCTCAGAAGCAAAAAAGTCCACATGGAAGAAGCACAGCAGCCTGTGTGATCACAAGGTGTTGAAAGGATCAGGTACCAGGCATCAGAAGAACAAAAAATCTTATTGTGAGTGAGGGAGAGTGCAGAGTGGGGACCCAAAACCCATCTGTAGGAACCTGGACATCCCTTTACAGAAGGGTTGCGGGGAGGAGATGAGCCAGTCGGTGCAGTGTAGCAATGATGAAACATACAACTTTCCTCTAATTCTTTAATGCTTCCCCCCCCACTATTTTATCCCAGTTCCACCTTACAAATCTGGCTAGACCAGAGGATGTACACTGGTACAGATAGGAACTGGAAACAGGGAATCCAGAACAGATGAACCCCTCAGGACCAGTGGTGAGAGTAGCGATATTGGGAGGGTGGAGAGAAGGTGGGGTAGAAAGGGGGAACCGATTACAAGGATCTACATATAACCCCCTTGGGGACAGACAACAGAAAAGTGGGTGAAGGGAGATATCAGACAGTGTAAGACATGACAAAATAATAATTTATAAATTATCAAGGGTTCATGAGGGAGGGGAAAAATGATCTGATACTAAGGTCTCAAGTAGAAAGCAAATGTTTTGAGAAAGACAGTGGCAACAAATATACTAATGTGCTTGACACAATGGATGGATGCATGGATTGTGATAAGAGTTGTACGAGCCCCCAATAAAATGATTTTTAAAAAAGAAAGAAAAAGAACTCCATCACTTACTGATTTTATTTTTTATTTAAAAAATAATTTTATAGGCATACAATTCACCTATAATACAATTTGATAGCTCAGTCATATTAAGAAGGGTTGGGTAATCATCATCACAATCAATTTCAGAACATTTTCTTCTTTGTTCTACTTTTTGTTAGCTCCCCGTTTTCCCCAACCTTCCCCTCTGTTCCCCTCGGTAATTATTAATCCTGTTATTGTCACTATAGATTTACCTATCTAGAATTTCTCTAAAAAAGAAAATCATAGAAAACAAAAACAAGAAACAAAATACAATGACAAAGCTGAGAAAAACTTCAAATAAAAAGCAGAAAATATTAACAAATGAAACAACCTTAAAATGGGTCAAAAGGGAGATCAATAACAAAGTGTTGCATTTTAACCTATGCATGTCCCAATTGACTTTATAAGGCTCTGAGCACAAGGCTATGCACATCCCTGGACTAAGGTCAAATGGGATTCACTGGAGTCAATCTATGTGTGGACTCTGCCAGTTTATTTTGGGCTTCCATTATCATTCATAGCCTTCTGCAAACTGGGTGTTGAGATTTTAAGCTTGGATACCATTCCTTCCTTTGAATTTTATTACCTAGTCTTTTGGTTACAATGGTTGGTGTGGTTCTTCCATGTGGATTTAGTTTGATAGCCTCACTTAGATGATTTTGATTTGCTTTAATTACATAATACATGAATATATTCCTCTTGTAAAAAAAATCTTACAGAGAAGTCTCCTTCCTTTTCCTGTCCTTCCTACCCCCAATCTGTTTTTGCTCCTGCCTTCCCCAAGATGTGATTGCAATGTTCAGCTTCGTATGTAATCTTGCAGATTTCACTTTCCTGTGTATCTATATAATACACATCTACTCATATAAAATAGACCTAAGAGTTTTGTGAATTTTAAAAACATCAGAATCATACTGTGCATATTATTCTATTTGATTTTTCATTTAAGAATGTCTTTTTGTGTATGTAGAGATAAGCTTCATTCTTTTCAACTGCTGCCTAATAGCCTATTGAAAAGATAGTTTATGTAGCTGTTTCCAAATCGGTGAGCATTGGTTTTTTGTCCCGTCCCCCCCATATTGTAGTTACAATGTTTTAGTAAACATCTTAGAATGTGTTTCTCCATTGGCATCTTTCAGTTAGAGTCTAATGGGAGTGGGGGGAATCAGAAACGTTTAACAGAATTTATTAAATGGAATTGTTTAACAGGGATGATAAAAATATAGTAACAATACTGAGGTAACAGAGTTAATGCTTCAGGCAGCAGCTGCTATCCCTGGGGATATGGAAGGAAGTTGAGGTCAAAACCTTGAAGCTTAGAGGAGGGCTCTGGAGAAAGTTAGAGCTTGGCTCACATCTCTGAGGGGCATCGGTGTTGGGCTCAGACTTCTGAGAAGGGCATCATTGGCTGTCTCAAGACTCGAACGTAGGGAGGGGCCACAAGGAAGTAGGACTTCTATCTTTGAAAAGAAGGTGCTACCTGGCTTCTGCATACCCCTGAGGAGTATAAGACTGCCTGTGAGGGTTGAAAAACAAGAGGGAGACTGAAAGCAGCTGTTGTCTACAATCAATTATTTATTGCTGGGGGAAGCAAAAGGGTTGCTGCTGGCATGGTGCTAGCAGAACGAAGCAAGTCATGTCTCATGTCTTTTAGTTTCCTGTTAGTGTCCCCCTTTGATGGATACTAACAGGAAGTCTGCTGAATCAAGGAGAAATGGTGTTTGTGGTCATCAAAAGGCAACAAAACAACACCCCCCCAAGCCTTCTTTAAGGCTCCGAAGAAAAAGGAACAGTATGAAGTTACTAAAGAAAGAAGGCTTTTAAAGACAGCAGGTTGTAGTCTAAAATTGGTGCTTTGATATTAATAAGTGGCGTACGTGGGGGTGACAAGGGTCAAGATTTTCTCATGCTAAGTTTATAGGTAGAATAGTGAGAGAGACTGTGGAAATCTGACTTTACGGGCCATGACAGCAAGGTGAGGTCTGGTGATTAAATGGAAGCATTACTGTGACTGTTATGAAAAAGAAAAGGAGAATTTCTCTGCGGAGACCCGGCATCATGGAGTCAAGTGTAAAGTGGTATATCTGGACATGAGACAATAGCTTAACAATAAGACATGTTTGTTTCTCTAGAGTGGATTCTGAGAACCCAAACCCCCAAGTTATAGGGTCTGTACACTCCAACTTTTCATATAGACTACCACATTACCCTCTTTCATTAGAACTGGACATACCTTTGATGTTGGAAAAAGAGAGAAAACCTACAGAACATTGCCTAGATCCAAACTAACCCCAAACCACTGCCAGCAAATGAATTCTGACTCATCGCAACCCACTGAGTTTCTGAGGCTGTCTGTACATCTTTATGAGAGCAGAGCCTTATCTTTTCCTTGGAAGAGGCTAGTGGGTTCAAACCACTTGCCTTGTGGGCAGCCCAACATTGCTAATGCGACATTAGCAGGGTTCCTTATCGCCTAAACGAGTGCTTCTCAATTTTCACAAGACCTGTGGGCCCTCTTAAAATGCAGTCCCTGACTCCCTATTTCAGAATATGAGCCTGAGATTTGCATTTCTAACAAGCTCCCAGGTGATGATGCTGATGACGGCATCACTTTAAGAGGTTCAAGAATGCCCTACTGTTGTGCCATCAGGGCTCCTTATCTTGCACTGCATAATCAACATTTCGCTAGTTGAAAATTGGCAGTCATAGTTGGCACAAGGGATATATTTTTGTACTTTTTAGAATTTGTTATAATGCACTTTTCAATTATCTTTGATTATTGATGTTTTTATTTTCCCCTGTAGAAGTAACGAATATGGTATTTTAAATAATTATCTGATTATTTAATCAATGACATATTTGTATCAGCTATCTAATGCTTTGTAACAAATCACCTGGAAATTAGTGGCAAACACAGTCAAAAACATTTCTTATCTCACAATTTCTATCGGTCAGAAATTGTCGGGTGTCCCATTAGAATAGCTCTGGGTGCTGTCACATCTTGGTTTGAGCTACAGTCATATGAAAGCTGATTGGGGCTGCAGTATCTAATTCCAAGGTGGCCCCTGTACATGGCTGAGGGGTTGGTGCTGGGAAGTTGAGTCCTCTAGGGCAACCTTCCTAATGATGCGACCCTTTAATACAGTTCCTCATGTTGTGGTGACCCCCAACCACAAAATTATTTTCGCAGCTACTTCATAACTGTAATTTTGCTACTGTTATGAATTGGGGGACCCCTGTGAAAGGGTCATTCAACCCCCAAAGGGGTCACGACCCAAGGTTGAGAACCACTGCTCTAGAGGGATGTTTGAGTGTCTCCCAGGCATGACGGCTGGCATCCTAAAGAGCAAGCAATCCCACAGACTGTGTTGGGAGGTACAGTGCCTTTATGACCTAGCCTTAGAAGTCACATACCATCCCAGGCTCACTGGTAGCCCGGTTGAAGATTGGTTATGATAAGACTGTAGCTGATGTGCGTAGAAATAGCAATTTAATCTCTGAGGAGGGCTCTGTAATGAGACTATTTTGTGTTGGTTCAGAAAACTGATGATCAGGTTCTCCTTTCAAAAATGAGCCTGAGGAGATTGAAATCTTTCCTTGGAAAAAAAGCTATGGTGGATAGCCTTGGAAATCCCATGAATGATCACCGAGTCGGAATCGCTTCCTGGACGTGGGTCTGGTGTGTGCGCGTGCGTGTGTGCGTTTTCTCACAGTAACTCGTTAAGCTTTGAGTTAGCAGCGCTCTGGACTGCGTGCTCTATCGAGTAAGCCTTGTGCAAACCCACCTCAGCACTCTTCTGCCTGCCCCTCTCGACCGAGCTCCTCCTGTGCAGGGCCCATTCCCGTCTCGTTCATCGCGGATGGCTCGGAAACTTACACAGTGCCGGGCACACAGGGGGCACGGTATTCCTTTCTCCTGCCAGCAACTAGCCACTGCGTGCCAACCCCGTGCCACTCATCTGAGATGCGGCGGTGAATGAAAACAAGAGCTCAGGACGTCGAGGTATAAATGCATAAACTAATTTCAAGTAGGAGCTACGGAGAAAAACGGGGCAAATTACGGGCGAGAGAATGACAGGGTAAGCGAGTCCAACGTCCTGAGCGGAGACCACAACGCCACGCCTCACTGCCACGCCTCACTGCCACGCCGACCACTCCGCAAGGTACAGACCCTGCTTCCGGAAAGCGTAGCCGGCAGGACTTGGCGCCGCGGGTGTGAGGCTAAGCTTTCTATTGGGCGTCACTGACGTCACTCGGGGGCGTTGCTTTCACTGTGACGTCTTGGAGGCGGAGGGCTGAGGACGCGGCGGAGGCGGGCACGGAAGTCGCGCTCCGGTGGGCGGGGTTGGGAAGGTGCTTCCGGGGGCCCGCTTCCGGCTCGCGAGAGGGTCCGGAAGTTAGTCCCGCCGCGTCAACCCGGGGGACTGCGGGGGTGGGAGCGGGCTGCGACAGAGACCGCAACCATGGGCGGGAAGAACAAACAGCGCACGAAGGGGAACCTGAGGGTGAGTGCGGAGCGGCCCAGGCGACCGGGACGTCCTCACCTGCAGCCTCTGGCCGTGCCCCGCGCGCCGCGGGGAGATCCGTGGAGCCCGGCTGCGGGGAAGCGTGTGTGTGTGTGTGTGTGTGCGTTTCGGGTGTGACCTCCGTCTGGTGGGTGCGTCCTGGCGGCGAGTGTCATCTCCGAGCAGAATGGGGATTTGCGAGAGAAAAGCTTTTGCAATTCATGCCTTGGTCCCACCCGGTCAGTGTTCGTTAAGACGTAGTTCATGTGAGCGGTCAGCTTCAACTGCAGGTTACCTGGCCTAAGTGGTAAGCGAGGAGCTGGCAGCTCCAGGAAGGAGGGGAATTGGGTGGGAGAGAGTTTAGAGAGCATGGTGCGCAAGATAACTCGGATGCTGTCGCTCCTTTGTTTAGTAGCATGTAGTGTCTGCTCGTATTGCTCGGGGTAAAGGTCATAGACCTCACGGTGATATGCAAGGTATACATTTATGTGGTTAACTCTGCGCCCGCTTGCAGCTTCAGCTCCCTCAGTTTCCCCATCCAGCCACATTGGCCTCCACAGCCACCCCGGACCTGGCTTGGCTTGCTCCCTAACGTTCTGTTCTCTGATGACTTAACGTCGCGTTCTAGACCCCTCACCGAGGCCCCCGGTGATTGCCCAGTTTTAAGTTGCTTACCTGCCTTCCTGCTGCCCCTCATGCTCGGTTGCATTTATGACTTCCAGCCTGCCGTGTAATACCCTGCCTTGCTTCACTAGGGTGAAAGCAGGTGTTTCCTTCACCTGCTGCAGTGTCCTCAGAGCATATACTATCCCCAAATCCACTGTCACTGAGTGGATTCCAACTCCTACCCACTCTGTAGGTCAGAATAGAACTGCTTCCCTAGGGGTTCTAAGGCTGTAAGTCTTTACGGGAGCAGGATGCTTCATCTTTCTCCCGAGGAGCGATAGCAGGCTTGAACTGCCAACCTTGGGGCTATCAGTTAAGAGTTTACCAGAATTTGCCACCTGGGCTCCTAAGATTCATTTGAACCACTCATTTTGCATAGCATTTTACCTCTTTGATGGAGACCATTTCCCAATATATATTTATTTAGTATTCTGTAACACTAAGAATTATGAAGTGTTTTGGACAGTTGTTTTGGTTAATTTAGATTTGTTCAGGTTAAACATTTATTGACAGGAATGCCTCTCAGTGAATCAGCAGGGGACATACTCAGTATCTGTTTTTTTCCATTATTGGTGACATTTATTTAGTAATTATTTCATTGAGGTGGAATTCACTGTAAGTGCATGGTTTTCCACTGGCTAGTAACATATTAGATGTGGATAGTTTGAGGATATACATATCCCACTGTTCTACAAATTTTAGCACATTTTGATGATTCTTAGTGATAGTAATTATTATGATGCTATTACAACTTACATATACTCCTGACAACAGTCTAGTAATGAGCTTATTTACAGTCATCTTATTTTAATGGTGATGGAAATGAAGCTTAGAGAAATGAGTTAACTTGCCTAAGCTCATCTCTAGAAACCTTTGTGGTGCCGTGCTTAAGTGCTGGACTGCTAACCAAAAGGTTAGCCGTGGAGCCCACCAGCTGCTGTGCAGAAGTCTCTGCGAATGTGTAAAGACCCAGTTAAACAGTCGAGAGTCAGCACTCACTCGATGGCTGCGAGTTCTTCCTTTTTAAAATTTTCTTTTGACCCTGTGGGGCGGTTCTACTCCAGTGTTTCTGAAGGGAGTGATACCACCCTCTGGAGGGCGCTAGAATGATCCAGAGGGGCTGCAAACTCAGATACCTACATTTGATCCCTGGATTATGGGCTATAGTACAAAAGTTTTAATTGCCAAGGGGCACTGAGCAGTCTTTTTTCTGAAAAGGGCAATTGGCCAAAGAAGTGTGGGAACACATGTCCTATTCTGTTTTATCGGTTGATATGAGTTGGAATCAACTCCATGGCAGTGGGCTTTTTAATTTTAAGAAATTGTAGACTTGGGATTTGAACTTTGGAATATCAGTCATTCAGCAGATATCTTTGGATAGTGGATCCATGTAGTCGAAAATAATAGGCCCATAATGTTATTAAGTAAGCATTAATTTGGTGATAGAGACAAATAGAAAGGAAATCAAGAATTGTGACTCAGGCTGTGGGAAAACAAGCAAAAGGTTGTGGGAACTGACCAGGGTTAGGCGGGTTTTGAAACCTGAGTACGTCTTGCAGGATGAGTAGGAGTGTGTCAGACACTGAAAAGGAAAAAATGGTTTTCAGGTGTACAAAAAAATTCTTTCAAGGCCAGTTTGTGAAAAGTCATAGCATTTTCGAAGGAATGTGGATTCAGTTTGGGACTGGAATATGGATGGTAGCAGCAAAGGGAAGGGGAGAGGGGAAGGAGACAAGAATAGGGAGCTTGAGGCCATATTGTGAACAATATTGCCATTCTTCCTGAGTTTGATTTTGAAGCCATAGGCTCTAGATTGCCACCTCACATATCTCTGCAAGCCAGGCTCGAATGAATGAATAAGGTGGAGCATAAGAAAAACTAGCTGCCAGCAATAAGTAGAAGCAACATTTTAACTTTTATTCCATAGTCGGTATAAGTAACATACAAAATAATAACAATAACTGTATTTTTAACCCAAAGTTTGTCGTTGTACATGTGAAGTTGATTGTGAGTCAGTGACCCTCAATGACTGAGTAGAACTGCCCCACGGGGCTTCCCACACTATAATCTTTTGGGGAAGGAGACAAGCATTGGGCTCAGAACTTCAAGGTCAGTGGCTCAAACCCATCACTGCCCTGCTACAGGAAAAAGAGGTGGTTTGTTTGTTCCAGCTCCGAGGTTGTTATACATTGGAATCAACTCAACAACAGTGTATTTCTGGGTTAGGACCACCACCCTCCCCATTTGTAGCCCCACACTTAACCCATCATGCCACTAAAGTAACAATTGATGGTAACATGTACTAATTCACTCCTTTATTCAACATCTACTTTGCATGTAAGGAGGCCTGGTTGTGCCACCAGGGAGGGAAAGTGGCTGATAGTTAACAAACTCAAACCCAAGCCTTAACTTCTGCCCATCAGCCATGGGTTCAGATTCTTGACCAGCCCAACCACACCAGCGTTTCTACTTCCAGGTAAACATGAAAAGAAAGTACAATTAGAACAACTTTTCATAAATTGTTACTTTTAAATTTGAAGCTGGAAATCTGATACTTTGTTTTACATATGTTTATCACTATCAATTCAGTTATTCTAGGTCAGTTAAAAATTAACCCATGACTCCTTTAACTTTTAGCAACCATTAATGTTCAATCATGTTAATTCATATTAATAAAGATTTAAAATAAAGAACATTAAAAAATTAGTTGCTGCAATTTTGAGGAAACATAATTCAGGCCATCATTTTACTTTCTGGTTACTCATTTAAATTTGGAAAAAAGGTCAGCTAATTCTTGCCAAATGAATTTTCTAAACACAATTTTGCTAGATAAGAGCAAATTGAGACACATATTTGGAACATCCTTATAAAGAAATATGAAATAGATGAGTTTAGATGGATTCCAAGGAACCCTGGTAATGTACACATTGAGTGCTTGGCTGCGAACGGCAAGGTTGGTGTGTTAGTCTGGGTAGACTAGAGAAACAAATTCATAAACACTCAAATGGGTATAAGAAAGAGCTTTATAAGAGCAGTTGAATATTGAGAAAACATCCCAGCCCAGTCCAGATCAAGTCCATAGGTCCAATATTAGCCCATATGTCCGATACCGATCTATAAAGTCCTCTTTGGACTCACGAAACACATGCAGTGATGTTGAATGCAGGAAGATCACATGGGCCAGTTGATGAGTTGATGGGAAGTCTTGTGGATCCAGTGGTGTTGTAAGCATCTCAGTGCTGGCAGGGGTCTCCACATGGCTTCTCCAGCTCCAGAGGTCTGGCTCCATCAGCCTTTCTCCATATGTCTTCTCCACAGGGATATCTCACAAGGAGTCAACAGAGAGGAGTATCTCCCACCTCCAAGGAGTTCCCAGAATCCTCAGGAGAAGGCCATGCCCACACAGAGGCCTCATTGGTTACATCCTGATTGACAGTCTAGACTCCACCCCTACACTCTTAATCCCCAAATTGACACCAGATTATGTAACTGCTACAGTTGGTGAGAGAGAGATCTTGTGATCTGCTTCCATACAGACTCAATCCAAGTCAAACTCTGCCATTGAGTTGATTTCAGCTTATAAGATCCTGTAGGACAAAGTAGAACTGTCCCTGTGGGTTTCCGAGACTATAACTCTTTATGGGAGTAGAAAGCAGAGACATTCTCCTTCAGAGTAGCTAGTCATTTTGAACTGTGGATCTTGTGGTAAGCAGCCCAATGCTTAATCCCACTATGCCACCAGGGCAGTTCTTTGTCCTATAGAGTTGCTATCAGTTATACTTGACTCAAGTCCATGGCAGTGAGACCCCACAAAGACCACACTGCCTAGAAAACATTGTGGGCTGATTCTACTCTTTTGAGTTGAAATGGACTTGACAGTATCTAACTACAACAGTAGCACTGTGATTAAAGTGTTGTGCCGCCAGCTAGCAACAGTGCCACTGGAGAAAGATGTAGCAGTCTGCAGCTATAAAAATTACAGCCTCGGAGTTCTCTTGTGCCTTAGTGGTTCGGTGTGCCTTGGAACGGACTCAACAGTAGTGGGTCACAGTAACAGGGTTATCTTGGTGGTAGAGCTGAGGCACCTCACCCCTTAAATGATAGCAAATAAATAAATTTATTTCAAAGTTCAAATATTTTTTCTCTGTCACAGTTGAGTCTCTCACTTTCAAAACTAGGAGGTTGCTATATTGTCAAGCAAGCAAACTGATTTAAAACAAAGGAGTGTATCATATTTAACCATCATTGAATTTTATGTTGACACAATTAATTTTAACCTTTGTAGCCTAGATAAGTTGAACTAGACTGTGGATAGATGGGGATAAGTAAGATGTGCTTGCTAGCAAGGAGTTCCCTAGAAGCATCTGTCCATTGGACTTGCACCATGGTTTTATATGTGATGAATAGGAGCACCTGGGTGGTACAAGAGGCTGGCTACCCAGAAGCTCCTTGGGAGACAGGCTTGGCAGTCTGCTTCCGAAAGGTCATCCCCTTGAAACCCTTTGGAAAAATTCTGCATATGGGGTTGCCATGAGTTGGAATGAACCGGTGGCAACTAACAACATGATGAAAAAAATCTATTTTAAAGCTAATTTTATTTTTACATCATTACAGAGGACACGTTTGTGTGTGTGTGTGTGTATGTGTGTGTGTGTATGTGTGTATGAATAAAATATATTGCCATCTAATTGATTTCTACTTTGGGACCCTATATATAGGATTTACAAAACTAAAATTTATTTATTGTTTTTTTATTTTTTTGTTTTTTTTTCAAAACTAAAATGTTATGAAATCAGATCGCCTCCTCTTTTTCTTGCAGAGTAGCTGGTGGATTCGAAGCATGACCAGGGCTTTAAAAATGTATATATGTATATGTCTATGATGTCTGTATATGTTGTTGAGTGACATCAAGTCAGTTCTGACCATCGCGACCCTGTGCACAACAGAAGGAAGCACACCTGGTCCTGAGCCATCCTCATCATTGTTCATATCCCTGAGCCCACAGTTGTAGGCATGGTGTCAGTCCATCTTCTTGAAGACCGTCCTCTTGTTCAGTGCCCCTCCAGGACTGGTCTCCAGGGTACTGCCAATACTCTTCTCTAGCACCACAATTCAAATGCATCCACTCTTCTTTGGTCTTCCATATTCAATGTCCAGCTTTCACATGCATGTGAGGCAAGTCAAAAATATCATGGCTTGGGTCAGGTGAACATCTTCCTTTTCAATACTCCAAAGAGGTCTTGTGCAGATCTATCTAATACAGTATGTCCTTTGATCTCTTGAGTGCTGCTTCCATGAACATTGAAGTTGTGATGTTACCTATTTTTCCAGTTGTGAGGATATTGGTCTTTATATTGAGATGTAATCAATAGTGAAGGCTGCCATCCTTGATATTCATCAGCAAATGCTTCAAGTCTCCTCACTCCCAGCAAGCACACTGCAGGTTGTTAATAAGTATTCTCCAAAACCTGATGCCACGTTCTTCTTCATGTAATCCAGCTTCACTGCTTATTGCTCTGCATACAGACTGAATAAGTATGGTGAGAGGACACAGCCTTGTCGCGTACTTTCCCTGATTCTAAACTATGCAGTACTCCCTTGTTCTGTTTGAACAACTGCAACTGCCTCATGGTCCATGCACAAGTTCCACAGGAGCTCAATGAAGTGTTCTGGAAGTCCCATTTTTCTCAAGGTTATCCACAGTTTGTTATGATCCACACAGTTTAATGTTTTGGCATAATTACTAAAACATAAGTATTTATTGATTTATATGAAAAAAAGTCATAAGTAGTGCCTTTTCTTATCACCAAAATTCATAAGCAGTACTTTTCCTTACCACCTGGGATGTGTTCTGATTTTAAACACTTTTATTCAATGAGTATTTCTCTTAAGATGCTGATGATGGCTCAAAATCAATATCTGTGAGGAATATTGCAATAGATGAAATCTTAGGCCAGGGGTAAATATATACTCAAGTGAAAAATGGGACTAGTCAGGGATTCACTTACTCATAAGAACTCACATCTCTAACTGTCCTGCACTCTTCTCTTGTCCCTCTTCACCAGCCTTCCAACAGTGGCCGAGCTGCAGAACTCCTTGCCAAAGAACAGGGAACCGTGCCTGGGTTTATTGGTTTTGGAACATCGCAAAGTGACTTAGGCTACGTTCCCGCTATCCAAGGAGCTGAAGAAATAGACAATCTCGTAGATTCTGATTTCCGAATGGTGCTGCGGAAACTTTCCAAGAAAGATGTCACAACAAAATTAAAAGCAAGTTTCCATAAAAGTGATCCCCCTTTTATTAAAATACGACTGGCATGTTTTGTGTTAAGAAACATCAACAGTAATTTGTCACTGATAAGGATCTCTGCAATTGTGCTTGTTTTTGAGGAACAGACTTAATGCATAGTTGTCAAGTACCTTCTGGATTATAAGTTAGTTTGTTTCTCAGCCCTCTTGAATAATTATGGAGTTTTGATTGTACAGTCTGTACTTTTGGGGAATCTGTTTTTGATCCTGTAATATTTTACAAATTTTATATGAGTTTTATTTTTGAAAAATCATCCAAGTGGGGAGTGGGGAGGGAGGGAAAAATGAGCTGATGCCAGAGGCTTAGGTGGAGAGCAAATGTTTTGAGAATGGTGAGGGCAATGAATGTACAAATGTGCTTCACACAATCGATGAATGTATGGATTGTGATAAGAGTTGTATGAGCCCCCAATAAAATGATTTAAAAGAAAATTAATCCAAATGGAAAATTTTTACCAAAGTGACCTGTGAAGGAATTCTTTAATTTCGTTCCACATAAAACAAATAGAAATGATATATATTCCCATTGTTTAAAATAGTCTTAAGTCTCCCAACCAGATAAAGTGTAATTAATAACAAATACTGTGTTGACTATTAACCCTAAAATGTTAATAATCTTCTCTTAGGCTATGCAGGAATTTGGAATAATGTGTTCAGAGCGGGACACAGAAATTGTAAAAGGAGTTCTCCCATACTGGCCAAGGATTTTCTGTAAAATTTCACTTGTAAGTTTTAAAACTTTACTAGTTACTTTGGTCATGTATTTTTTTTTTTATTGAAGTCATTGCATGGTGGTGGTGGTGGTGGGGGGAGGGTGGTCTCAGAATGATGTGATTCAATTTTGGTAATTGTTTTGAAGATTGGATTATGTTGGGTTATACAGAGCATGTGTGAGGGTCTAGATTTTTAGACATTAGCTTATTATTTAAGAATTATTTTTTAGTATATGGTGCCTAATCATGACACGTTTCTAGAATTACCTTTATTTCCTCACACACTCTACAGAAGAATGAGAACAAATTGCTTTTCTCAAGGCCCAGGCCTGAATCTGATACAGTAAGATTTTCTATAGTTAAGAAGGGTTGGGGAAAAAAATATACAAGAGTAAATCAGAAAGCATTGCTGCTGCGTTTCTGATTCATACATGCACAAATTTATTCCCAAGAAACCTTGCTAAAACATGTTTCTGCAATCAAGGGATAGCTGCAGATAAGAGAACTAGTCTTATTAAATATTTCCTGGAAAAAGAAAGGATTCTTTTATTTTTTGTGCCATGGGGAAATAAGATTTTACATTCAGGACTATGGCAAATTTTTAGTAAAACTGAAGTGGACATATTAAACCATTTGAGTTTTGCAACAAATTTACAGAAGAGTTTCTCCACATAAAATAAGTTTTTAGATGGTTCAAATATTTTAAGGACGTTTGGAAAGACAATAAGAATGAGCCAAGACTGGGAAGATTATCAACTTCAACAAATAAGGAAACCATGGCTGAAGTTCAGAAACTGGTTCATGAAGATCACAGAATCATTATTGATGCAATAGCTACTGAAGTTGGGATCTCATTTGATGTAGCATTTTTAATTTCAAGCAAACATCTTGGCCTGAGTAAGCTGTTGGTTGACAGATGCTAGAAGCATTGCGTGAAGTTCAGCTAGTTCAAAGAGCTGATCTTACCATTAGTCTTTTAAACAAGATTGAAGTAAATAAACATGATTTTTTTTTCATATTGCATAACTCCTTTTAATATTTTTGAGCCATTGAGTTGTATGATACATAAATTATATACCAATTAAACTGTTAACATTTTTAAAAAGAGAGAGAACTTAGACATTTCTCCACAGAAGATCACAAATGTCCAATAAACATGTAAAAAGATGGCCAACATCATTAGTTATCAAGGAAATGTAAATCAAAACCACAGTGAGATACCACTTAACAGCCACTCAAAACCAAATTCACCGCCACGGAGTAGATTCTGACTCATAGCAAGCCTGTAGGACAGAATACAACTGCCCTATGATTTTTAAAAATTTTTTTTACTGCCCTATGAATTTCTGAGATTGTAAATCTTTACCAGAGCAGACAGTCTTATCTTTCTCCCACAGAGTGACTGGCGGGTTTGAACTGCTGACCTTGTGGTTAGTAGCCCAATGTGTAACCCACTATGCATGCCACCACGCCTCCTTGCATGTCCACTGTTGCCTATCATAGCAAAAAACCAGTAAGAATATTCATTGCTAGTGAGAAGTAAAATGGTACAGTTGATTTGGAAAATAGTTTGATGCTTCTCTAGAAGTTAAAAATTGAATGACCCTGTTGTTATGAGGTGCCCTTGAGTCAGTTCCAATTAAAAATGACTTTGGACAGCAGCATGAACCCCTCCTGATCCTGTGTCATTATCACAATAGTTATTCTTTTTGAGCCCATTGGAGTAGCCACTGTGTCAATCTGGCCTGTTGAGAGCTGCTTGTTCACTAACCTCTGCTTTACTAAGCATGGGGTCCTCTCCAGGGACTTTCCCCTTTGGATAACATCTTCTAAGCACCTACGAGGAAGGCTGGCCATCCATCCTTTTTTTAAAAAAATCATTTTATTAGGGGCTCATACAACTCATCACAGTCCATACATACATCAATTGTGTAATGCACATTTGTACATTCATTGCCCTCATCATTCTCAAAACATTTGCTCTCCACTTAAGCCCCCGGCGTCAGGTCCTCATTTTTCCACTCCCTCCCCGTTCCCACTCCCTCATGAGCCCTTCATAACTTATAAATTATCATTTTATCATATCTTGCCCCATCCGATGTCTCCCCTCACCCACTTTTCTGTTGTCCATCCCCCAGGGAGGAGGTCACATG